ATACTCTCGCTTCCTCTTTTCACATACCTTTTTATCAGCAATGTGCCCCTGTGGCCAAGAAGGCAAATAGGATCCTAACCTGATACACTGATATTTAGAAGTTAATCACTGCAAAAATATGGCAAAGGTGCAACTGTGGACATAATCTTGTAGATGGGAAGAAAAGTTTATCATGAATTTTTGAAAGAGGTGTTGGAACATTCCTTCATCTACAGCTTCACTGAAAAATGCCAGTTCACCATAACTTCAACTATTTCTGCCAAAGGGCTTCTGATAAATTTCCAGTTAAAGGTTTCAGAACGATCTGCAACATCCATTTTAGCATTCCCAACGGTTTGGGTCTTTTTCTTTCTTTGACTTCACCGATCACTTTTAGCTCTGATGGGCAGCAGAAGGCTCCTGCAGTTGTTATCTCTGAGTACCCTCAAGCAGCAGGCCCACGGAGAGGCCTGTGGTAGAAGGATGAAAATCTCACAGACCATTGTGCTCCTAGAAGGTTTGAGCAAGTTGATTTCTAGAAGGAAGAAAAAATCCCAGTTTCTCCTCTCACAGAGTGGATGATAAAACTCAGCTATTTGGTACTGTGCTGGCAAATTAGCACGTGCATCTTGGACAGCCAGCCAGCGAGCACAAAGGTATCTGTGTACACGTGGTCAAGGAGAGATGTCAGAAGTGGGATGGATGCAGTGAACATCCACGTATGAGCGGAAACAGAGGACGCATGCATCAGATGGTCAGTCATGAGTCATTGCTCAGGAAACAACAGGTTTACATTTTGCTGACTTCAGCCATGAAATTTTGCTGGCTGAGTGTTGGAACCGAAGAAAAGCAAGTCTATCTTTTATTCTGCAAGTAATGAAGTTATGAAGCTTCTCGTAGCAGGAGATTTTGGTGGTCAGAAGTATGATGGAATTTAAAACTGGATTTGAAAAATGGATAAAAGTCCTTCAGAGCCTCCAAACATGACGTTGCAAATACAGCCTGTGGTTTTGGCAGGCCTCTTGGCTGAACACCAATGTTTAGGACTCTGAATTGGGAAATGATTATTCTACACATTCCCTATTCCATCATCTTTTTCTTTAAATATCTGTCCTTTTTGTCAGATCTAGAGGTAGAACAATGCTCGGCTTGACACAGAGTGGCTATTGTCATTTTGAAGAAAGAAGAGAGAATTTAGAGAGGAAAGACATTGTCGATATCTAATTTAGACACTCCATGAGGGTTCCCAGTGTGAGCTCTGTAGTTTCATGATTTCCCTTTGTCTGAGATCCCTGCTGGCTGCCTGGAAGAGTAAGGACAGGAAGGGGAACCGAGGTAGAAAAAAACTTCACTGCTGAATGTGATTCTTCTGCCCCAGTGGGTGAGACAGGAAGGTGGGAGGAATGATAGCAGCAGCAGAAGCGGAAATCTAGTGCTCAGCTTCCCTCATGAGAGAAGGAAAAGAGAGAGAGAGAGAAAAGTGTGGTCCCTAAAACTGGAAGAGAAGAGACAAGAACCTGGTTACGGCCACTTGGGATCTGAACACATTGTATGACATCACGTCCTACATTTCAGGGCTTTTAATCAGAAATGTTTGAAAAAGGACCATTCAAAACTGATCATGAGATAGAGATGGGGTGAATGCGGGCACCTGAGGAAGACTCCTGTGCTCTGCTGTACCCAAAACAGAATACACCATTCAGTTAATCCGTGTCAGGGTGTGGGCACTGGTCGTGACGCCCAGTCAGCCTGGTCCACATCCCACAGCATATCCACTCTTGCTTTAAGCATAATATAAAATCACAGCCGAGCTGTTGAATTCTGCAGCTCCGCTCAGCCCAAGGAGGCCATTCTTTCTGCTTGACAGTCCAAATGTGACAGTGTGCAAGGCAGCTGTGCTTTGAGGCTCTGAACTGACTCATGCCTAACTCACCAGGGAATCCAAAATCCCTCCTGAACCAGGATGCCAGTTCACAAGAGAGCAGTATTTCTGCATAGCCATTTTGCTAACTGCAACATTTCTGTACTGCTGTATGTTTATCTTTCACTGGGGACACTGATCTGCAGTAAAACAGGTAACATTCTCAGAACTTAGCAGTTTATGCTGTAATTTCCCTTGTCTAGAATGGCAGTCAGGAGTCTGTTTTGGGCAGCTGCATGAATCCAGACCATTTAAATCAGAAGACAAACTCAACAGACTTTATGTTCTCTATTATGCACTTCATTATTTACAAATATCCTTGTCATAATTTCTGGTTTATTACAAGAAAATTACCTCCTGCTTTGTTGCATGCAGTTCTACTTCAGAGAGTGGAGAGACAAAAACAGGGGCAGAAACACCTGTGATCTTCTACTTCTTTCCCTACTCAATAACGTGTTTCCTTATCTAGTCCAGAATTTTGTCAGGGCTTGACCCAGAGCACAGAGAACCTCAAATTTAAATACTTGTTTTAAATTTTGGAACAAAATAATTGTTTGAAAGCCAAACCCTTTTAGCTGCAGATGTTATTTTTTTCCTCCACAAACTGAAAATTTCTTCTGGGAACTAGAAAAACATATATATAATGCTTAGTATAGGTATAATATATGTACACTGTATGTAAGCATAATATGCTTTATATGCACGTATAACAGAGGAATATGTATATAGTGTGTGTATTTTATAATCTCTATGTATCCACATATGCCATATATGAATTTGTATATGTACATAATGAACATTTTTAAGAAGTTAAACATTTTCCTGTAAGCTTACTTTCTAATTTACCATTCTGCCCTTAAATTTAATTGCTGTAGAATTCCTGGACTGTGGCTATGATGAGTCAGATGACAGTAAGTGCATATTTAGCCTCCATTTCTAGTAAAAAGCTGTACTTCTAAAAATAGTTCTCAGAACTCAACACAAAATAAGAACCTTTGGAGCACTGTTTGGCTCAGGCTGTTTCTTGAATGCCCACTCAAGTGAGCTAAGAGAATTCCTTCTTACCAGGAGCTGATGAGAGAGGAGAGGGGACAGAAGGGGAGACATAATCGTCAAAAGAAAACCCCAAACTTTAGTTCTACAGATCAAATTCCAGACCATTAATGTGAACCAAGGATCTGGTAAATCCTCTACTCAATATCATTACCAACATGTCAACTTTTCTGCAGCATGCTTGCTTGCATGAGAAGTGCCAATTTCAGGCAGGAGGAGAACCATCCTACAAATCATCCTGGTTATTTGTACTTAATGGCAGAATACATTTTCCCTTGTAGAGCATTAGTAATCAATGTGTCTCTTTCTTGGTCACACCCATTTTTTTCACAATTGTTTTCACAAGTTACAGCATTTCTAGAATTAAATGTTGATATTTGCATTAGTAAGTGTTTCAAAATGAATTTCTTAAACACTGAAAAATATAGTGGGATGTCTCAAAGAATTTTGAGGAAGAATCCATTCATAAGAAAGAGAGGAAGGAGGATCCAGGAAACCACAGGCTTGTGAGCCTCACCTCTGTGCCTGGGAAGATCATAGAACAGATCTCCTGAAAGACGTGTTAAGGCACATGAGGGACGAGCGGGTGATCACAGGCAGCCAGCACTGCCTCACCAAGGATAGGTCGTGTCTGACCAAACTGGTGGCCTTCTGTGATGAAGTGATGACGTTGATGGACAGAGGGAAGGCACCTGATGTAATCTACTCAGATTTCTGCAAGGCCTTTGACACAGTCCCCCACATCCTTATCTCTAAATTGGAGAGATACGGATTTGAAGGATGGACTAATCAATGGATAAGGAACTAGTTGGAAAGTTGCAGCCATAAGGTTGTGGTCAATGGCTCTGTGTCCAGGTGGTGGTCAGTCACGAGTGGTGACCCCCAGGGGTTCGTCTTGATAAATTCAAAAGGTGGGCTCTTGTGAATATCATGAGGTTCAACAAAGCAAGGTTTTGCACTTGGATGAGGGTAATTCCAAGAATATATACAGACTGGGAAAAGAGCTGCTTGAGGGCAGCCCTGCTGAGAAGGATTTAGGGGTCATGGTAGATGAAGAACTTAACATGAGCCAGCAGTGTATGTTTGCAGCCTGGAAAACCAACGGTATCCTGGGCTCCATCAGCAGAGGGGTGGCCAGCAGGGACAGGGAGGTGATCGTCCCTCTCTGCTCTGCTCTCGTGAGGCCCCATCTGCAGCACTGCGTCCAGGTCTGGAGCCCCAAACACAGGAAAGATGTGGGGCTTTTGGAGAGCATCCAGATGAGGGCCACAAAGATGCTCAGTGGGCTGGAGCACCTCTTCTATGAAGACAGGCTGAGGGAGGTGGGCTTGTTCAGTCTGGAGTTGAGTAGGCTCTAGTAAGACCTCATTGTAGCCTTCCAATATTAAAAGAGCCTAAAAACAAGAGGAAAAACAACTTAAACAACTTTTTACACAGATAGATAGTGATAGGACAAGAGGAAGTAAAGGTTTTAAACTGAAGGAAGGAAGATCGAGATTAAATGTTGGAGGGAAATTTTCTACTGAGAGGGTGGTGATGTGCTGGAACCGGTTGCCCAGAGAGACTGTGGATGCTCCATCCCTGGAGGCGTTCATGGCCAGGATGAATGGGACCTGGGAAACCTGATCTGGTGCTTGATCTAGAATTTGGCAACCCTGCCTGCAGCGGGGGGCTGGAATCTGAAGATCCTTGCAGTCCCTTCCCACCCAAGCCATTCTGATTCTGAACATAATGTTTACCTTAATCCTATACAGGCTATTCATTTCAGAACTGTTCATGAAGATCAGTGAGTGTCTTTCAAATTATATTTCATAATTTCACTGCAGGGATGATAAGCATGGGGCCTTTGTTTAAGTATCTGCATATGATTTCTGGTATCCAGCCTTACACAGACACATCACAATTTCTAATTTGTATAACAGGTGACAAAATCGTAACTAAACTTATGACTATAACTTAGCTGACAACGTTTTTTTACTTCTGGAGGATGAAAATGTGGGTCCTCTTTTATCTATGCACATGTATATGCTTTGTTTTCTCATTTCAGGTCATGGAACCAAAGGAGTATTTGAACTTCTTTCAGGATGGCGTCGAACAAGAGAGAATCTTCCATTCAAGGACAGAGTAGCAGATGCCTACTCAGATGTCATGGTGTCCTACACAATGACAAGCTCCTTGTATTTCATAGCCTTTGGCATGGGCGCAAGCCCTTTCACTAACATTGAAGCTGTAAAAGTCTTCTGCCAGAACATGTGTGTCTCCATCCTGTTGAACTACTTCTATATCTTCTCATTCTTTGGCTCCTGTCTGGTCTTTGCTGGCCAGTTGGAGCAGAACCGTTATCACAGTATCTTCTGCTGTAAAATCCCTTCAGCAGAATACCTGGACCGAAAGCCTGTGTGGTTCCAGACCATGATGAATGATGGTCATCAACATTCTTCTCATCATGAGACCAACCCATACCAGCATCACTTTATCCAGCATTTCCTCCGAGAGCATTACAATGAGTGGATTACCAACATCTACGTCAAGCCTTTTGTGGTGATACTGTATCTCATCTATGCCTCTTTCTCCTTTATGGGGTGCTTACAGATTAATGATGGAGCCAACATTATTAACCTTCTTGCCAGTGAGTCTCCAAGCGTCTCCTATGCCCTCATTCAGCAAAAGTACTTCAGCAACTACAGCCCGGTGATAGGATTCTATATTTACGAACCTCTGGAGTACTGGAATGGCACTGTGCAAGAAGACCTAAAAACACTGAGCCAAGGGTTCAACACAGTGTCCTGGATTGAGCAGTATTACCAGTTCCTTCGAGTGGGCAACATCAGTGCAACTAACAAAAGTGACTTTATCAGTATCCTCCAGAGCTCCTTTTTAAAAAAGCCAGAATTCCAGCACTTCAAAAATGACATCATATTCTCTAAAGCTGGAGATGAGAATAACATAATAGCTTCTCGTCTGTACCTGGTGGCCAGGACTAGTGAAAACACACAGAGGGAGGCAGTGGAATTACTGGAGAAACTGAGACCACTCTCTCTTATACAGAGCATCAAGTTCATAGTGTTCAACCCTACCTTTGTTTTCATGGACCACTATGGTTTATCAGTAACTATGCCTGTCCTGATTTCTGGTTTTGGCATCCTGCTGGTGTTAATACTGACCTTTTTCCTGGTTATCCATCCTCTGGGAAATTTCTGGTTAATTCTCAGCGTCACCTCAATAGAGCTGGGCGTCCTTGGCTTGATGACCTTATGGAATGTAGACATGGATTGCATTTCTATACTGTGCCTTATCTACACCTTGAATTTTGCCATAGATCACTGTGCACCCCTGCTTTATACATTTGTACTAGCTACTGAGCACACCCGAACTCAATGTATAAAGAACTCCCTCCAAGAGCATGGGACAGCCATTTTGCAGAACGTTTCTTCTTTTCTTATTGGGTTGGTCCCCCTTCTCTTTGTGCCTTCAAACTTGACCTTCACACTGTTCAAATGCTTGCTGCTTGCCGGCAGTTGCACACTTCTGCACTGTTTTGTTATTTTGCCCGTCTTTCTAACCTTTTTCCCACCTTCCAAAAAGCACCACAAAAAAAAGAAACGAGCCAAAAGGAAGGAACGAGAAGAGATCGAATGCATAGAGATTCAGGAGAATCCTGATCACGTGACAGCGGTCTGAAAGGCGCAGAAAAAATAAGAATATTTTCTCTTTTTAAAAAAGTGTTGCACAGAGATGCAGGGAAAATAGAGCAAAGATCTCAGCTGCTTGTGCTGGCCAGGTCTGACAAGGCAAAGGAAGATCAAGAAGGGGTATTCATGACACATCAAGGTGCAAACTGTTTTTAACAAAAATAATGAAAGTGAAAACAACCACAGATATTTCCTTTGAATTCTCATTCTCCACCAGGGAAGAGTTTATTGGCCATTAAATGTTTCTGAGTATCAAACTGTAGCTCTAACGGCAACTACTTGATCTGTCATATTTAAGACTGAAGCAAAGGTGGAAAAAAAAAGTTACCATTAAGTAAACAGTAGGGGAAAAAGAGAATACTTTGATAAAATTGCCCAGAGCAAAACAAAACAGAACAAAACAAAGAAAAACAAAAAGCATTTCAAGCGAGAAAAGGGAACAAAACCTAAAAATGTCATGGTATTTTTCCTTTTCTTGAGCAAGTAGAGATAAAACCTATGCACTTGGGAAGTAGGTGTTTAAATCAGCCTAAGCCAAAGTACTTCCCAATGTCAGTATACCATGTATATCTATAACATCACAGTTACAGTTAATGTGAATTTCAATGGCAAAGCTGAACTGCCAAGGGAGAGAAATCCTGTTCATATAGGAGAAGAAATTGCAGTAGGTCTTTTGGAAATGCAATGTTTAGTTTCTTTAAAAGTGACAGATGACATTTATCCCAAGAGGTCACAACTGGCAGTTGCCTCCATACCTGCACTTGGGTATTTCTGAATTGCAAAATTCCCCTTGAACTAGCAGATGCCACGAAACCAACCCAGGCCATTACCACTGCAGCAATGCTTGCAGTTCCTGCCGTGTAACACTTTGAATCCTCATTTATCAGTGTTGACATGAGATACTGAATATTAATCAAGTTGGTGCTTTAAATGTAATGATGGATTGCATATCGCAGACACAATGTGACTGTGTTACAGCTGAGTCAGCTCTGGAGCACCCACACAGTACTATCATTATGTATTTGGTCCAACAGACAAAGGGGTATGTTTGGTGATCCCTGCAATATGCTGCAGGAAGTGGGATTTTCCCCTTCTTTAAGCAGAACATCAGTCAAACATTTGCTATATTAGATTAAATAACAACGATTATGAAAATCCTTGGGGTTTTCATAGGACTGAAGAAACTCCCAGTTGTAAAAAGACAGATCAGTCCCCCAAGGGAAGGGGAGGGGAGGGAGGAATGTCTTTATTATTATTCCTAAATATTTGAGTGCCGATTGTCTGCAATACAAAGCTTTGTTCTGGCAGTTGAAATCTCACAAAAGAATGTGGTAAATCCACAGTTACTACATGATGATGGAAATTATACTGTAAAGAACCGTGAATGACTTTCTCTGCTTTGTAAACTATACAGTTTAGTAACCCAAGAGAAGGGATGGAAACTAATCTAGCCATTTCAGTTTGCTCTTGGCCCAGTCCTCCACTGGAGCTTGCCATCTCCATCTTCTCTTCCAGTACTTTAAAAGGGCTTGCTTTCTACTCTCTGGAGTATGGTATAGCATCACCTACATGAGCAATGTCTTCCTGAATATATAGTATCCGTGAGGACACTATGTAAAGATATCACTGTATGGAGTGTTTGTGTCTGCTTTGTATTACTTGTGGGTACATTTAAAGATGTCTGGAAGCTATTTGCCTTCCGCAATGTGTATACGTGTTTGTTCGTGGATGGTCAACTGAGTCTGCAGAGTTTGCTGATGAGGGTTTGTACATGCATTTCTCTAAAAAGCTCTCTGCAAATTGATCCTTTGTTCTGTGACATCTCCCACCTCTTCCTACTGTTTCATTGTTGGGGAGAGCCAGAGGAAATTCACCTGCAGCACAAAAAGCCATTGCAGATCTAATGCTCGTCAGCTGTTTCTGTTTTTAAGATATGCAGTTTTTCCTCTTCTCTGTCCTTTCTGTATTTTGCCATTTCCATTTGCCAAAAAAATGACCTCTGTGTTATAAGAGTGGTCAGAGTTCTTGATTGTTCAAGGGACCTTTTGTGTGCAACAAGTTTTAGGGAAAGATACATTTTCTAGACAGGCAAAGCTTCCAAAGTTTGAATCCAGATCTAAACTTCAGGTATATCTAGATCAAGGTTATTGGTTTGACCCGAGATATTGAAAGAGTCAGCTGCAAAACTAAGATCTAGATATTTCAGTAAGATTTAGGAGCGGGGGATGTTTTAATGTTGAGGTGTGGCTCATAGGCGTCCCTTGTTGGGAAGTACTTACTGACTTTGATCTGCATCTCAAAGACATTGTGCAATATCCATCCTTTTTAGGTTCTGAATGCCAAGTTTTCCGTGGCTCTTCTACGGTTTCCTCCACTGTCTATACAAAATCTGACTATTATAGCACAACTGTGAGCCCTGGGTATCGCTTCTGGAGATGTCCTTTTTCTCACCTGCCCCGTGCATCACAATGGCCTTCTCTGGTTCCACACAGATGTATCCTGAGAATCTCTGCTGAGTATTGTATTGAAGGAAGTAGCATTTTCCAAAGCCATCAAAGCAGGGATTCATCTCATCTAACATTGGATGTTGACTGCTGAAGATATTATTAACTGAGCTTCTTTTGTGGTCATAAAAGAGAGACAGGCAGCTCTGACCCATTTTACAGCTGTGCGTGAATCACACCTCTAAAATGCCTGTTTCTACCCACTGGTGATAAAGGAAGCTCTGAGTGCTTGCTTCAAGCACATCAGCAACGCCAGCTCATCCAAGTTTGGTGAGATTAACCCCACTTAAAGTGTTCAAATACCAAGTGAAAGAGAACAGAAAAAGGCCTTAGAGTCTTGTCTCCCAAGCATCTATTTTAGGGATAATTCCCTGGTGTAACTCAGCTCGAAGTCTGCGATTGGATATGAGGACCTCATGCAGAACAGAGCTTATAAATTTGCTGCTGGAATTCCCCTGGCAGAGATTGGTGAGCCAAGATGTCAATGCTGAGGACGTGCTCACACGTGGTGGTCGCAATACCGTGCGTGTGCAGCAGCACTTGTATACAGCAGGCACAAAACATGCAGATTACACCCTTTAAAAAGGAGGTTTTGATTTTGAAGGTAACGCAGGAGTAGAGCACAAAACAAACAGACCCTTCACTGATGTCATTTTGTTATTTTATCTATCAGTCCTTTTGCAGGAAAGAACATTGCTGCTGCTACTTATGCAGCTGTATCACTCTCTATGGACTCAGAAAAACTTCTCAAGCGAGAAAAGATATCATTTTCTTCTTTAATTCAGTCATATGAGAGCAATTTTGGGGTGGAGAGACCATACTTATTAATGTCTTCCCATTCTTTTTGTTCTTCTTACGATGCTTTTGAATATTTTCTACCCTCTTCTGCACCCACACAGCACCTGTTCAGCTGAACTGGAGCTGCATAAGCAACAGTGAAGACAGGACGTAGTGCACATACCCAAGCAGGATGACACTCTGATCCAAACTAGGTATTGGATCTTCATTATAACCTTCTTACCAGTTACAGTAGGTCCCTGGGGTATTGCACATATTCCATTAACGTCTGTTTCTAGACATAGTCTACATAAGCTGGTAAGGACCCTGCGTGCATTTTCCTACTGGGTTTGATTTCATTCCCCCAATCTGTTGAAGTCAACAGATTTATTGCCACAATATATTTGGCTCTGCATGCTTTTTAGCCAGTAAGAAATGAAACCACAACAAATGGACGTCTTCATTGTTGATATGCTTGTTGTATGTATCTGCCTATACTATACAGCCATTGTTGCATGCTGTGTTCAGGAAGCTGAAGTGGAGGTGTCCTGTGTAATTTTTTCCATTACACTTTTCCATGCAAGTAGTTCTAACTGTAACTAATTTACGCCTCTGTCTTCTTTGTAAGAATTAGGGCTTCACCTCTGTAGTTCAGTACTCGAAGTTTCATAAATTTATTGCCTAACAAAGCGACATATTTTTATGATCAGGATAGATACAAATGCATGGCACCTTGCATGTATAATTTAAAGAGATTGTCTTCTAAACTGTCATTCTCAGCTTTTTATTTCAGAAGATTCCTAAGCAGGATGGATGAAACTTGCCATGCTAATATCTTGCTGAGTTAACTTAAGCAACTTTAGGTTTGAATTTTTCTGCAGCAAGATGGAAAGTCTGGGGGGGAAGAAGAAATATGAAGTAAAATAATTGTATAATCAGTATTCCCTTTTTTCCCAAAAGGCTCTCACTGTTCTGCTCTTAATTAAGTCACACTGAGTAATGACTCTAGCTTAATTAAGATTTATTTCAATAGAGTTATTCCACATTTCACTGTGACAAGAGCTTGGCTTATTGTCTTTATGGAAGCACCATGCTAAGTCTCCTTGGTTTTTATTTATTTATTTATTTATTTTGGTAATTATAAATTTTAATCAGTTCTTTTTTATTTGCAACACTAGGTTTTTGAGTACTTCAAGCCCTCATTTGATGTTCTGGGAAACACTAAGAGGAAGCAAAGTTAAGCAATTAGGGAACAAGTGATGCGTTGGTGTTATGGAGCAGGGATACTTCGTGAAGGGGCAGCGTATCCTCCACGAAGGCTCCAAACACAGAATGATGTTAGGGCTGTCTCAAAGAATGTTCTAGATTAAAGTGGAAGTTCCAGATTAAAGTGAAATGGAAACTAAGTGGAGCAAGTGGTGTGGAGGATGAAGTAATCAAGCAATAGTCAGGATTTTGATTCATGGTTTGCAACATCTTACCCAAGCAAGGAGGCATTTGAAGAGGAATGAAACTGGATATGGAAAGCAGCTCATCTATCAACCAGAATGCTTCATTGCACTGTAAACTTGCATAAAAGAACACCACAGACCAAGCACACCTCAATATGAGTCACTCCAAAACCTGTTTTCTTCTCGGAGCAAGGAAGGAATCCCATCTTGGGTTTCACACAGCTGTGGGAAGGAAATTCAAAGCTTCGGTGGCGTTC